CACAGGCCCGGATGCTTTTATCGAGACCCTCTTGCACTGGGTCTTACCCATTGTTAAATGACGGACGTATTGACAAATTGGCCTACCGATATTGGCCCGGGCCAGTCCGTCATATGGACAGCGTTGCAAAGAAAACTGGAAAGGGGGGAAGGGGAAAACCCACAATGACCTGTCGCCTTTAAAAACGAACTTTAGTCAGCTCTCGATAACTCGAAACCTCTTTAACTCGAATTTCTCGATAGCTCGAAGTCATGGCGTTTCCCTTCGAAATTCTCTAGAAAATGGGTTTTCCCCCAATTTTAACTCCGACTGCCGTAAGACAAATTTATTTTGTAACTCAAATTATTTCCAGTACTATTTTTATTTTTTCCGGTAAATATCAATACAAGGGCGAACTTTGCCTCAAGGTCATCCCATACGAACTCATCCAAGCAGCGCGCTCGACCATCTCGGATTTAAGGAAATGAACTCCAAGCGATTGCGGTCATTTCAACACCCTAGGAAAGAAAGGAATTGACTTCGTCGGATCTGTGGTTAGTGGGATATCATCCCCGAACTTTGGGGGAAAACGGGAAACCCCCATGGACGGCTAAATTTCCATCCCAGGAACCTTTCATCATAACAGGGCGTGCGATAGCTTCAACCGGAGGTCTTAAATGGCTGAACAATTCCCTTCATACGTCATAGTTGAGTTTGAAAATGTGAAATTTATACAATTTTCATCCCAGAAACATCCCTGTGTGACGAGGGAAATGAAAAATCTCTCATTATGGTTTACTTTACCCCCCTCTGAGGTGCATCGATAAAGCAAGTAACTTTTTGGAATTTTTGTCAGCTAGACAGAAAATATCTAAAAATTCGAATTTTCTGATTTTTGTCATCTTTGGTCGAGTATTTCCCAATGTGACGGAGCGCTTATGATATCAAGAATAGTGCCGTTAGAAAGGGGAGTTTAAGATATTTTGGACGATATATGATTTCCTGAGGCATTTTCGTTAATAAAAAAATGCACTTGCTGGGAAAATTTTTTTTTTAAAGATTGCCAAAACTTGCCTTTTCCAATAATTCACATTTTATTCTAGTAGCTAAATATGATCGTGTTACCTCACCAACCTCACCAACCTCATGCTATTGACATTTTGCAGAGCTTTGTTGAGGCCACATATGGTTTGACGCAAGAGATTCAAGACGCAATCGCGTACTTGGAAAATATCGTGGAACGTGAGGGTGCCACGAAAGCACGCCGAACTCTCCTGACCGACTTTTTCAAGTGATTAAGCTAAAATTAGAGAGCTTTGCTGGCTTTGTATTATTGCATTGTATGTACAATGTTGTAGAGCATAGAATCCAAAAAAACCTCTATAACTCGAATTTCCCTTGAGCTTCGAGTTATCGGGAGTCCGCTGTACCTCCTTCTTACCCTTTGACACTTGCGAGAAACCTTATCTATTCTATATCAATTACCTCACTAAATCAAGTAATCCTTCATCTGAGAAATCGAGCAACCCTCTTTCGGGCCGGAGCTTCTCGACACCCCGACCCACAAATTCCAGCAATTCCGATGGTGAAGGCGTTATCATAATCCATCCATAACGAGTAACGCCAACAACGTCACCCATCCCACAGCGCCTTCCACTTAATTCAACCAATGAAGAACGGATTCAACGGCGGAACCTCCAAGCCCAAAGGAGATCGGGGATGAAGGGAGGGCAGCTGAGTGGGCCTGGGCTAAAGGGATTTAGGGATGTACAGTAGTCTGTAGTTTCTCCTGGATGTTTTCCCTGAGTTCCGTGTGTTCCTCATCGTTTAATTCTTTTAATTCCGTCCTTACGGCCATCGTGCAATGGATTTTTGGATCGACTCGTAAATTCCCATTTGTTTTTATTTTGGAGTTTCCTTCTTGAACTTGCCGGACCGAACTCAACACCTGTAAATCCCCGTCGCGCCTTAACACAGGGATCGTTCCTGCTTCAACGCGTGAGACAAAGCTCTGCGAACTCCGTTGCTCTCCGCCGCCAGATGCATCTTCAGTACGATTGGTTACGAGGGCTGAATACGATTCATGCTTTAGTTTGAGTGAAGGTGCAGCGACAACCATTAATTTCCGTGCAGATTTACATCCTGGAAGCTCTTCTTACCCCCGTTTCACACATCAAAAGAATGTTCAAGGTCCTCAAATGACCTTGAAGTTTTTCCCTCCTTATCCAGCGAGGGGGGAGGGGAGAAAAATGCTCTGAATTATCTATCATTTATTTCTTCCATTTCTGAGAGAACTCCATTTTTCTTACCAGAACAAACTGAAAATTTCATTTCAAAATTTCTAACGCAGTGGGAATGGGGAATTATTTTTCTTCATTCCCGGCCTCACTGATTGAGTTTAAGATTGGACATTCCGTGTGCGACGTCAGTGTGAAGGCCAAGTCCTAAGATGTTAGGGTATTTTATGGAACCAATGAAATCCTCAGCTATCTAATATCTATATATATATAGCACACTTTCCGTTTGTTTGTCTGTTTGTTCCTCCATAACGGCTGAACCGGGCAACCCCCGAGGCTGAAATTTTGCACAGAGGANCGAGAGGATAAACTGGACGTCCCGGGTTCGGTGGTGTCGTAGTAGAGCACCTGGCCGGCATTCTGGAGGCCCTGGTTCAATTCCCGGGCGTTCCTTGGCTTTCTCTCGGCTTCTCATACCCTACAAGTCGCGTTGCACATTCCCCCGCCATAACAATTTTTTGCTTTAGTAAAACGGAGATACATGGAAAGCTGAATCTTGACATGGATATGCCTACCGAGACGATGAGTTCAGAAAAAATGTAAAATTTTAGATCCATGCCCTGTGTGGGCATATTTTTAGGGGCCGATGTTTTTCAAGTAATTTTTTTTTTTTGCCCTGGCGTATATTGAGCTGGTGTGAAAAGATGAAACTTGGTACATAACTACCTATTGGGATGCTGCGTGCAGAAAAATTCAGACTTTGGAAGTAAATGCCCCGGGGGGCACAAATTTAAAAGGGAGATGTTTTCAAATAATTTTTTTGCATCAGTTAAACTCATGAACATGGAAAGCTGAAACTTTGCATGAATGTGACTACTAAGACAATGAGGTAAATACAAATGTTGGAATATGGAAATGGAAAGGTGAAACTTGGCACGCGTGTAAGTGACATGGTATTATTGAGTTGAGAGAGTATTCAGCTTTCATGGTGCATCCACTCCCAGCATAGCTTTTGGGTGCGTCGGCTTTTCAAAACATGTTTTTCCACCAGCGAAAAGGGCAAACGAATGAAGTTAAAACTTTGCGGCATGCAGTTCTCTGAGGATTGATTTCGGAAAAAAGGTTTCATTTCGGTTAAAACGCCTCAAGGCACATATATTGCAAAGGGTGTATTTTCTCGAATTTCTGATCCAGCAAAACAGAGAGCGCTAGTAAGTTTAAACTTGGCAAAGAAGATCCTGATGTATAGCTGAGTAAAAATAAATTCTACTTTTATTATATATATGTAAGATCGTGAGTAGCTGACTGACATAAGCCGCATGCTGAGTTGAAGAAAAATTCTACTTCGGTGATACATCCTATAGGGGCACACCTTTTCGGGGAACATATTTCAGATAGTTCTCTTTGCTTCAATCAAACGGAGACACATGGAAACTGAAACGTGTGAAGAACGTGACTGCTGAAGCACTGAGCTCAGGAAAAATGTCAAATTTCTAAAATATTGGAATTTTGGGGGGGATATTTCTTGGGGACGTTACGGTTTCAAAGAATTTTTCATATCCTAGCGAATTGGGCAGAAATGGAAAAGTAGCAGCTGCCGCACGCATAACGGAAGTGATGTTGATTTAATGAAAAATTGTACTTTTATTGTGCGTCTCCTCATAGCACAGCTTTTGGGTGGGTCGCTTTTCCAAATACATTTTTTATCGCCAGTAAAAAGGGGAAACGTATAAAGCTGAAACTGGGTGGCATGGAGTTCCCTGAGTCTACATTTCAGAAGAAAAAAAAATTTCGTTAAAACCTCAGGGCACTTTTCTTTAAGTCCTATTTTCCTGATTTTTTTTTGATCCAACGGAACAAAGACAGAAAATGTAAACTTCCCTCAGAAGTACCTATTTGATGTCTGAGTACAGGAAAAATCCTATTTTGAAATATGTTCCATTAGCGTAGATTATAGGAGGGAAGTAATTCAAAATGTATTCTCCACCCTTACAAAAAGGGACACACGAAAAGATTTCAAGTTAGGCACACTAGAAATAATAGAAGTAATGATTTTGATAAAAATTGAGACTTTCGTCCCCATATGTCACGTATTTTAATGGGGACGCAGTTTAAATACGTGTTTGCCATTTCGCAAATAATAAATGAGTTAATCACTATCCAAGGTAATGGAGCACCAAAGGCGCGACCATATATCTAGTATATGTATATTTTGCTTGGAAGTCTGTATGTACGCATGTTCATGGGCACGTGCGGCGCTTTCTGCTTGCCACAAGGTGTACGTCTCCCTCTCTCGAGCTCGCACTTTTTTTTTGCATTAGACAGTCGCACGTTGCGACTGTCTAGTACGAACGTAATAGCCTGGGGGTGGGAGAGGGAAGAGCTCGGATATGGCATAAGAGGATGACAGAAAACGATGGAACAGGCGGGAATCGAAACCGGGGCCTCCTGATTCCCGGTCAAGCAAGCTACCACTACACCACCGAACCAAACGTTCAATTGGTCTTTTCCGTGTCATCCTTAACACTATAAAATAAGAGAGGCATTCTATGCATACCCCCGCTCCCCCCCCCCTTTCCCTACTTAGGGGATGTTTACACATCCCATACAGGCTTTTTTGCAGGGACGTGTAAAAAGTATCCGCGTAATACACTTGGAGTTCCCTTTCTCTCTTGAGGAGGAATGAGTTCCTCGCCGGAATGAGATCTCCGCCCACATATTTATCAGGATCCCTTCATCAATCGGAACCCCGTCCTTCTATTGATCGGCACTCTCACAAGGAGAATGAGTGGTGAAAACGGCAGGATCGCACCTGTACGAACAAGAGCGCTGCTGCTACTCAGCTGTAAGATGTGACATTCCCACTTGAGAATCCATTGATTTTCTCCTCTTTCCCACCTGCATCCCACCTACCTGCAGTAGAGTAGGCTACCTAGGACCTCCTCTGCGGGTAGAACGTTCCATCTACCCCCCAGAAATGAAGACAAGACAGTTAGAATCTATGCTTGTCAGGGAGTTACAATAACTCTTTGTAGGTGATAAGAAACCGGTCATGCAAAGGGTTCTCATAAAGAATATGAGCTTGTTTATCGTCTGGGCTCCATGATTCTGTTTCGAATATAGGGAATAGAAATGATTAAATGTCCAATTGTATTGATCGCTATAATGAGACTAGGGACATATGGTGAGGTACTAAATACTCCAAGTAGCACACTTATTGACTCTTTCATGTTAATACTACGTCAATATGATGAGAATTTAATGCATGTCGAAAAGTTTGACATGACTATTGATGTTGCTATTTTCGTAAAAAATTTGACATGTATGTAAGTCACATCAACTTGATGTTACATTTAAAGTATATATTGACGCTCATGAGGAGATTTTTTTACTTTTGACAAGTTTTTGATACGAGGACCTTGTAATTATCACCATAAAATTGACATCACATCCACAGGTCCATTGTGACATTTTGTGAGACAAATTATGAGGTCACTGTGAATGAAAAATTCTCTGACAAACTCCTATTTGTGTAATTTTCATCAGCTGAAGCTGAAATGGCAAAGTGCTCACTGAAGGCTCATAACACGCATTATGAACTGCGGATAACAGTTGAACGTAGTTACAGGCGGCCATGGTACTCTGAACTCGAAAGTGCTCTTCCTGGAAGGCGGCATATCCGGTTTGGAGGCCTTACTTTCAGACGGACGCAGGACTCGCTCAGTGGTAAGATACTTGTGAATTGGTCTAAGATATGAAAGTAGCTTAATAAGAATTCCCATTTTCCATTCGTAATTCCATTGAATAATATTGGCCTTTGGCATCCATTTGTAGGCCTACTTCTCGGTCTGGCACTGTTTCTCGCATCAACCTTGGCCTAATAGCTCATGTTTCGGCTACGTTACTTTAGGATGTAGCTCTAGCCATTCCAAGCGACAGTTCCTTTCCGTTGGAATAATTTGGCGTTAGCACGAAGGTAATCAAGGATCCTTTGGATTGTAATAAATGCCAGGCTAAGCCTAATGCTAGGCATTGATCCGATTTCAACATGTCTGACCGTTTCGGATATCAGTCAGTAAGACATTGAGGGGTAAATGAGCGCTTCTAGAACCTCAGAGTCAAATAAGGCTTTTTATACTAAGAAGTGAAATTTGAAATAAACTATATCTAAAGTGTGAAGTACTTGTTAGTGCTAGGCCTAAATTACAATAAATATTCTTAAGTTGCAGCGTCTTCACCTGTCATAACTTAGCTTTAGTTTCATATGCTTGGTGAATTTTCCATGAGGATAACATTTGTCTATTGCAATCAGCTAATAATCTCAATGTTAGAGGTTTCATGAGGTTTCCTTTCAATTAGGATACAACGGTAATATATTGATAGAATAAAGGGAAAATTGAAGAGGAAATTTCTTTTAAGGTAGTGACTGGAATCTGGGCAATGTCAGGACCTTTAGCATCCTGAGCGTAGTCATGACTCTTGCTCTCTGAGGACAGGGTGTAGCAGGAGTGGAATAACTCATAATGGAGGCCAAATTAAATTTCTCATGCTTTTGAAATCATTCTGAAGCCATCTATATATGGCTTCAGAATGACCTAAGTGGGTTCATTGTTGAGTCCCACCTAACTGGCAAAGTATGTTAGTCACAGTTATTCTGGTCCCCCTTATGCTGAAAGGTTGCCTCATTACATAGATACTAATACTTATGAGGAGTTCATTCAATTCTCTTAACCTTTCCAATCCAGCAAAAAATATGAATTTCCCTATAGCTCTACAAAGAAAATGCTAAGGAAATGTAGCATAAAAAAACAGGCAGGCAGCCACTGCAACTACTATTTTCAAAAAGCTCTAAATTAGAATACAATTGACTGGCATATCAGCTGCAACAGGGGAGTTGAAGTGTTAATGTGCAATGTCACACCAGGCTTATGATTTTGGGACACAAAGGGTTAATTAGTATATAACATTCCGAATTCATTGCATTAGGTTAGTCTTTTCTTCTTGATTTGCTGCGATGTTTCCTGTATTACCAGATATTTTCAGATCTGAAGAAGAAAGCAAAGCATATGATTTACCATGCCGTAATTTTCCCTGATTAGGATCCCTGTGCCATCATCCCTCAACTTTGGGTCATTGATGACCAAACTTGTTGGTATCCCCGCAAATTGACAAAGGCAAGGTCTTACTGCAATGCCTTGAGGCGACCAGACAAAATGGAGTTTTCCAAGTGCAGAATGGAGTAGAAGCACAGTTCTAGTGAGTATTTGTTTAAAACTTTGTTTAATGGTCCAACTGTAACTTTTAAGACTGTGATGCGCCGAGTTTGGTAAACATATCCCTGTCCAAGTTTCAAATTACACCAAATTAGGTCTTTTTTGCAATTTATAATATGGTGTTATCATTGATGATAAAGAAAATTCCATAGCATATGCTCATGGGCCAGCTCAGACTTGAAATTATCCTAATACACTGAAGAAAGGCATGCATTTTCATAACCTGAAAATGCATTTTCTTGGGGGAAAAAAATTAATAAATGAATCCCATGAATTAGTGCACCAGGTTGCATTCTACCCTAAAAGAAAGCAATAGTATATATACTGCCCTCCAAAAGTATTTCAACACTTTTTCAGGATTGAAATGCTCAGGACATATAGCATGATCTAAAAGAAAAATTGGATTTCCTTAGACGGCTTAATTTGTTATCCTTGCGAAGTGCCCATATATGTCATGATTTGTGCCATCATTTGTCTAAAAAAAAAATTCGCCTTGAATCTGTCTAGTTTTATTTTTTAGTATGGAACAATTAAAATCCATCCACAACCGATTGTTGGAAAACCTACTTCTCTTGCATGCCATGCGAGAATAATGCTTTTCTGTGCACCTTAAGGAAAAGACTCCTGTTAGTGTCCTCTAAAACTCTTGCCAGTTTTTCCATCATACAAAATGTCTGTACCTGCTTTTGGTCACTACACTGTTTGCAGGTTATGATTAATAGTCCTACTCACACATGAGTAATTGATGCCAAGTTGGCAAGAAATGGCCAGACAGCTTCGAAAGGATGGGGGAACAATTCTCCAGTGTTCTGACTAAGACACCATGATTATTCCTCTGGCTTGCCAGAAATAAGAATGGGGATAGGGTTATGTTTCTGTCATTCTACCAGATGGAAATTCCGAATCTAATTGTTTCCATGAAAATTTAGGGGATATGGTAGATGAAACCCTGATGGTAATGGCTGCTTTGCGCAGTTAAGAGAATAAGTTATTCAAATGACAATGTTTTCCCTTTGGTGCCATAAATACGGAGATTTCAAATAATGAAAATACTGGCAAGAGTTTTAGTGGACACTGATGGGAGTCTTTTCTTTAAGGTGCACAGAACAAACATGATTCTCAAATGGCATGGAAGAAGGGAATTAGGCTTTCCAACAACCAGTTGGGGAAACATTTTTCAGTGTGCCATCATTTTGGACAAATGTTAAAACAGATTGTGATATGATTGGGTGCTTCGCTAAAGAAACAGATTAGGCTGACCAAATACATTTTTGCAGGTGATGCTATAAGTGCTGAGCTTTTCGATCACAAAAAAAGTGTTGCAAAACTTTTGGAGGGCAGTAAATTTTTTAAGTATGGTATATGGTCATGTTTTTAATTCATTTTAATATTTGTATAGAATTCTATTGTATTGCATATTATATTGCAGCAAACGAAGACCAGGTTTCTGCAAAGGTTAAGAAGCTCGAGAAGAGTTGTGATGTGGCCACTACTGATTATGAAAAAAGATAAAGACCTCAATATCTGGAGAGAGGGAGCGAAAAAAGCATCTTCCCAAGCGACAACGCAAGTCACCTTCTATCCCATATCCACCTCCATCTGAAGCTGAGAGTGAAGATGATGGTGACTCACTGAGCACCTCATTTGTATTTCAGCCATCTGATGAGGAGGAGGAAGTCACTAAACTCAAAGCTGGACCTTCAATCCATTGGCTTGGCTCCAAAGCTAAGAAATTGTTGTCATCTTCTTCAACACAAACACATTCCAATCCCTCCTGTTTCTGGAGTACTCCTGACCTGACAAAAGTCCATGCTTCAAAGCATATTCTTGAGCCAATTCTCAATTCTCCTCATCCATCCCAGCAACCAAGCCTCTCAAAACCAGCTTGTGAGTTCTGTAATTTTGAAGCACCTGAGAGATGTTCAACATTCTTAAGCAGCCCTCACTATATAATGTGGAACTTGAATTTTTACATGTGGTATGTGAATTCATCAATTTCTCATCCTTTGTTATTTGTTTCTTTTTTTCAGGTACTTGTGAGTGCACCTGTCACAGCATTTTGTTGGCCATGATGAAGGACGTCAAGCATGAACAAGGACAAAGGCTAACTGTGATGGAGCTACAAGTCCAGTCACTTATTAACCACTTTGGCCTTAGGAATAAAACCTCTTCCTTTATGGGTCATGTGAATCTCAGATTAAAAAAACCAGAAGTGTCACTGTTCTCTGATTGCATAAAAGCAGACAAGGGGTATCGAGAAGAATCAGTGAGTAATTTCTTGAATTTCCTTTTGTGCTTGCTGCTACTTCATCTCAAAACTCTGCTGAAGAATACATAATTGTCGTGTGCAGCTCCTAACAGGCTGAAATTCCTTTTTCCTTCCTTTTAAGGTATGCTTTTTGAACTACAATCAAGATTCTGCAATTGGAAACTAGATTCCCTCTCCATCCTCAACATAGTAGAAGCCATTCTGAACATATAGGATAGTCCATATTTGGATACCACCCCAAAATAATAGGGGACAATTGCAGAGAAACAACAGAACATTAGTTGAAAGCCCCAACCATCACTATCAATACACCGATGAAATCTTTTAACACTCTCCAGTTGCACTTAGTCCAACATAACCAGTGTGATTTGCTTACAACATCCAAGTATGCGAAACCTCAGTTTGTTGATGTCTCATGGTTTTTATTATTTTCGCACTTGCTTGACATAGACTTTTGAGGGCTGTTAAGAATGGTATCCATTGCATGTGTCACATATTGGATAGGAGAGGACCCCTAATCAATACACGACTGTGGGATTATTAGGTAATCTCGGGTTCGGTACAGCAAATTCAGGAAAGAAAATCCACCAATCTGAATTTCAAAATAATTACACATATATATTGATATTCAAAGGTTTAAAATAAAAAGGATGGTGAAATAAAATATTGGAGGGACAAAAGACACAACACCCGAAACACCAGAAAAACGTCTCACAGGCAAATCTCCATTTGATCCCCGCCCCACCCCACAAGCTGCTCCTCGCTCTTGCTCTCGCTATACCTCTCTCTCCCCCTCTCTAATTCCTCCAGAATCCTCTCGACGTCCTTCGATTCCTCCTTTTTCCCCCGCGTCTTCCCGGATGAAGCCGATAAGGTTTTCCGTTCCAGCTTATGAGTCCGGTACAGAGTAGGACCCCGTAATAGCCAGTTGTTCCAGCCCTATAGGCAGACCGGAGAAGGGCTGCCATTCCAGATTATTAATCAGGGCGTCTCGCCCTTGGACATTATCGGTCATGAGTGGTGTGCTGTTCAGGATATCCGTTCCCGGAGAAGGGCTGCCTATATCTTTCTATTACATCCTGCGTCTTGTATCGGGTCCCTAGGTACGACCTCCTTAATGAGCTTTTTAATGTTTCACATGCTACACATTCTCCTCAGTTCTTATAGTTTTGACTGTTTTTCTTGGAATTGCCAATCGAACCTATGTCACAGAATTATCGATTCAATTTGTGAATAGTTTTCCCTTGGAGTGGTGCACACAAAATTTCTCCTGGAATATGTATTGTGTCATATATCTGTGAATATCCATGTTGCTGCTTCTCTATTCCTCAGTAATATATTTACTCTTTTTCTTTTGTTGCAGATAGCTATTCTGGAATCTACTATCCGAAATATGGAACGGAAGAAAGCAGTTTCAACTCTCATGCGTCGACTCATGGATGATGGAGCTGCCCTTCACTTTGCTTGCAAGTCCACAAGACACAAGGAGAAGCAGGTCCGTACAGAGCTGGGCATCTTTGACCTCATCAAGTACGTTTATTGAAAATTCATGTGATGAGTGCGATTGGATTTCTCAGTCCTTAGATATCAGTTCTACATTAACCATTCAGCATATAAAAGATGATCTTACTGTGGGAAACTCTTTCCAGTGATTATCATTGAATTAATGTTTTTATATTGCAGAAGCCATTGATTGCAGTGGGAAAGCTGCTTCCATGTCTCAACAAGAGAGAACCATCTTTGTTGGTGACTGGCTTCGGCAGGCTAAGCAGCGCCTTCATCAGAAGGAACGTGCCCAAAGTGATTCTTTGTGATTCACTTGTTCAAAACTGATTCTCAAGGCGAAGAAATGAAAAATTATGACATCCTTTTTCATTCATCTATCACATCTGTGTGAAATATACATCTGGTTTCATTAATTTGCTGGCATTAGACTCGGTAATCTATAATGAATACAACTTATTTTATGAAGCATTCCACCACGAGAAAAAGAGGATAATGGAAGCCAATAAAATCATTCAACATAGGCCATCTCAGATACTGTTTTGAGGCCCATTCATGCTGATTTAATTTGGTTTTTATAAAAGCCTTATTTGCATGTCGATGCATGTGCATAAATTCACCGATGTGTGGACATGCAAATCGGCTTTGATCCTCCTGGTCAAGGTTTACAGTGGAGACATATACATTTGAGAAGTTATTGACAAGGGCCTTGCAAGTGTTAACGTGAAATTGACGTAACATCCACCTCAATATTGATGTTCATGGAGAGGTACACAATTGACAAGTTATTGAAGCAATAATTTGTCAATATGAACGTGAGTTTTATGTCACATCCACTAGCTGTTGTAGATTTGTCCACATCAAAATGATATGAATTAAACATACTCGTGCTGCCTGGGACTCCTGTGAGGGATGATTCGACTCGAGGGATGTTTGGAGTCCCATGTTCCTCCGCGCAGAGAGTAACTCCCGAGTGTGAAAGCGGCGGGATCCCATGTGGGTGGCTTAGAACAGAATGGTTTAACCTTGGATCACAAAGATGCCGCCTATTGTCTCGTAACCATCCCGCTTCCAAATCTGTCAATTTCACTCATAGGCTTGGATGAAAAGTGATGGAGATGGTCTTCACGGACGAAGTGGACAGGGTCGTGATGGATAGGAAAAAGTGCCGATCAATGAAGGGGTCGGGATTCCAATAAATGTTAAGGCAAATATATCACCTCGGCGAGGAATTAATCCATCCTTCAGCGGGATGAAAGGGGACTCCAAGGGTTATACGTGGGGACGTGTAACAATTAGGAAAGGGGGTCGGCTGCCTATTGCGTTGAGAGGGTCACTGAGTTTTAGGGCCGCAAATGAACCCGGGAGTTCTTGCCCAAGAGTTCGTCGAAGTTTTCCATGGATCGGCTAGTTGAGGTACATTCCCAGAGGGACCTCATATTTTTAAACATAGTTTTCCCCCAAAAATGTTTGCTTTCAGTGACGAATGCTAAAACTTATGCACAGACGGATATACAAGGGGTATTTATATTTAAAATAACTCTCCTACAGCAACATTCTTTCTGTGGCATACATTTCGGGAGGTTTTTCCATGAAATTTATTGTTTCAGTAAAAAGGCAGATACAGGAAACTGATATTCTGCAATGATTATCTGGAATGAGTCCTTTCTCATTTTAGGCCAATCTCTCCCCTACAGCGCACCTGCGCGCCTTATCGAAGCTAAAGGAGGAAAGAAACATACCATGTGTGATGGCGTCAAAATGGGAGCCCTTATATTCGCCTGTATCAGCGTCATCCACTCAGTCTCTCCCAGTCCTCTTCTTGAAAAGGAGTGCAGACATAGTTTTCAAAGTCCACAACCTTTCTTGTGACCTAAGGCATATTCTAGACGCTGATTGACAAAATCATACATCATCTTGGTAAGTAAAAATTTAAATGGTCGCTGAACCATTCCTAAAATCTATTGAAAAAATCCGCTTTCTAGGATCATTACCTCGTTTTATCACAACACCTGATATAAGTGCGAGTGAATAGACAAATGAAGAATCTCGCCAAATCTAGCGAAAGTAACATTTCATACCCGAGTAGAAAAATACTTGCAACAGCTTTTATTAGCAATTATCATTCACTCAACAATGCCTGTCTATCAAAAACGATGTAAAGCATAGTAGTGGTCGGGAGACCTTGGAGCAGTCATACCATCTATGAAGCGTTTATATCTCAATGTGACTTCAAAATAGCAAAGTGATAATTATATTTCATTTCGTGGGAATTTCTATATTGTTTTGACACTGTGATCCTATGTAACTTGGAAATCATAGTCTAGTTATGCAATTTGCAATTAGTTTCTCTCCGAAGCCACTTAATTATTTATGCAAGACGACCAGACTTCATCCACATCACCACATGAACAACGTGTCTCATCATGGTCTCCACAATTAGTATTGTTCTGTTTATTTCGTACTTCCTTAAAAAAAATTAATGCAAGACGCATTGAAGAAGCAACCAAGGTTAACAAGAACTGAAGAATGAATTTTAAGTAAAAGTGATTCTTAGCATATAAGAATAAAAATCTGTACTTGGGGCTAATTATGATACAATGTTATTAAGTTTTTCTTGAAAGATGTTGTGGAGAATAACAGACTTATTATTTGTTGCATGGAATAAGTGCTCATTGAGATATTAATTACCTTGTACTCGAAAGTGTCCCTCACCTCTACTTACATGCGAGTACAAGCGAGGACATTTTCTTCAGAAAACGGGTATTAAAAACCACTTATCCCTGATTGCGTGATGTGGATTTCATCTGAAATCGTCAAAATGCTCCAATATAAAAACGTTGAATTCCAAGAAAAAGCTGTATGAAGGAATGAAATGATAGCTCTCTCCCCTAAATACTAATCTCTTATTAGAACAAAGGCAGACATCTATAGATTTTATTGTACCACTATGAATTAATTATAATAATAAGGTTTCCTCTTTGGAGAAATGCTCTATATTCTTTGAAATGATACGCATTCGTATAGGAGACACTGATGTCGAAAAATAGTGAGGAGCCAAAAATTGACAATATATAGAATTTTCTCGTTTTCTTGGCAATTCCAAAAGCATACTTTAGTTTACCTGTAAACGTCACTCTTCCCAAAGATTCAACCTTAGCCATCATTTGCACAGAAATGTGTTGTGGGAGTGAAGAGATTCATTAGTCATTGATCTCTTTGCAACACCACTGATGCGGTGTTTCTTCTGGTTCAATAGGCAGAAGGCCGAGGAAAACCTTAACGTTTAAAATCGTTTGGCAATTGTTATTGCATTTGTTACAATTGTTTACCTACCGGATGAAGGCCAAACATATCTCTCACTAATCGTTTCTTGGAAGGAAGAGGCAATACTTTATTTTTGTACTTTGAACAGTTCAACTAGGTGCAAGCGTGATGGAGGAACCTAGTGATTCCGTTTCCACGTCTACACCGGATAATCCGCCGGACCCACCAAATCCGCCAGGACCGCAACCAACCCAGGGGAATTGAGGTGGTGGCTCCAGGCGATTGGAGTTGCCATGGGGATCCAATGATCAACGAAGAAAGGTATCGTCCTGTTTTTCCAATATGCCTTGTTCTCTACCTCCTATTTCTCGACCTTTGAAATTTTTAGAGCTGCAGTGAACAACGATTTTTCATATTTTCTGGAGGAGAACAGAGGAGATTGTCTACTGCACCACATGAAGTCATATTCATTCAATTTATTCTGAATAAACTGATCCCCAAGAAATTGTGACTCACTATTGTCGTTTCCAGGGAAGAAGAACCAATGCGGATGTTACAGAAACTTGAAGCATGCATGCTTCTGGAAATGGTGATGAGATGCTGGATTGGTCGTACCTCTTTCCTAATGATTTCAACCTGAGCGATTAATACAGAACTAGAATGAACAGAGTTATTAATGAGTTCCAAACAGCCAATATACTGATGAATTTATAGTGCAATGACAGCCTATTAAACATAACATAACATAACATGACATAACACATAACATACAAGAGCACATTGGTAGAGAAGTCTCCCACATACCTAAGCAGCAAGTTCATGTAAACAAGGTATCAATTTTTTGCAAACAATTTAAATTTCTAGTGATTGCCATGAAAATGACGGGACGTAAATTTTACGCATAATACAGGAACGTAAATTTTGCGTAAAATTAACGTTAATTTTATATCACCGTTTACGTATCACAGAGGTGACATTTCTGCAAACATGTTGACATTTTCTTGACAATGGTTTGCGTAAAAATTATCACAGAGGTGACATTTCTGCAAACATGTTGACATTTTCTTGACAATGGTTTGCATAAAAAGGATATGAAATGGACCAAAAATTTTTATATTCATTTTACGTAAAATTAACAAACATGCTGTTTGGGTATCTTCCTTCTTCATCCCAATCAAGGGCATATTGGGTCCATGTATTTAGCCTTGATTTCTGTCTTTCGCTTGTTCGTTTAATACTGTACATCTAGACGATTGCAAATGATGGGAGTGAGAGATTGACGCTAATTGAAACAACGAGAGTCTGAAACTACCTTGGGTCTGTACAGTTTTAGAATCTAACGCTTAGATTTCTGAGCACGTATCAGGCGGCATGTCATATTGACATGTGAGGTGAAGCAATCGCTCTGTAAAAACTTGTGTCTCCTTCATAGACCAGGGTCTCCTGGTTGAAACCCAAAAATAGGAAAGTGATGCGTATAAAATTAAAGCATAGTCCATGCAACCGACCAGAGGCCATGTGCCCCCTTTTTACAACGATGCCTGACATGGTACCTGTGGCACCGGGAGGCCGTACCTAAGGACCAGGTACAGGATACAGGATGCAAGGGAGAGATAGGGCAGCCATTCTCTGGGAATGGATATCCTGACACTCGACTGATAATGTTTAAGGGCGAAGAAGCCATGATGAACGTAGAAACCTCATACGTTTCACCCCTTAGAATCCGCTAATGGTGGGTGGCTTCTACAGTAGTACGACGACCCCAAACCATTAAGAAAGCAGAGGCAAATGAGGAAGATATCGGGAGGAAGAGCAAATCAGGGTAGGGGAAAGCAACGAAACTCGAACTATTTTTCCATCCAGATATCAAATCCAGCGTTTCTCTCAGTCCATAATGACCAGCTCCGGGGGCGACCATTTTGTTTCGCCACCCTCTCTGAAACTACCTGTTTTCAGGGGTCAAGTTATGGTAGGAATAAATCTTCAGTGACGGAAAGTGAGTGTGCAAGGCCCGTCGAAATGGGACATGCCATAATCGTACGTGCTGCATCTTGAGGCGAACGACTCACGGAGTCGAACAGATGCACTAAATGAATCCAACGAGGAATTTCTCCCTTTCACTCCGTAATCTGTACAGCCAACCTCAGCTATTCTAGTGACTAATGTATGCCGGATCTGTTTGCACGTTCTGCCACTCCTTTTAGTTTCCGTAATAGAAAAGCAAATATACGAGGCATCAAATGATTTTTTCCCTTGAATATGAATATGGATTCGAAACACGAGCACGACCAAGTGGGGCGTAACATTCTCAAAGAATACAATTACAATGAAAAGAGAAAAAGCGAATACAAAAACTAAAAGAGTAACCAGCAAACGTTCAATCAAAATGCACAAAGGTAAGTGGGCTTTACCTGGCTGAATCATCTGGATTATCAACACCTGAATCAGAAATTTATTGAGACCTTTGTATGGTTCTGTTTCCGATGCTGTACCTTTTGGGACCCTTCCCATTTTTCTTTCGTCAACCTATGGATTTGCAACGTTAAATCGAACATGCGCCCAGGTCTGCCTTACGACATAATCAATCTAAACTAGTGGGGTAATATCCTACCATCAACATATTCCTAAAATAACTCTTACAGTAAATAGTGCATAAATACATAGTTCTATGGAAAATTATCCCAAGAGACACCCTTGGATTGAAACACGATTGTTTCAAGTACAATACCTGAGCGCGCTCAGATTTTGCACCCGTACTTCTTTTCAAGAACGAAATACCATAGGAAATCAGAAAAACGACATCTTCGATCCTATAGGGAAACAACAAAAAGATAATTCAATCGCCTGAGAGGACGTCGAACAAAGCAGTCGATACTTTTAGCCTAAGGGTTCGAGTCAAGTTGCACATTCCCGAAGCGTTCGAGTTTCGTTGTTTTCCCCTAGATCCGGTGTAGAAAAGGACAAGTAAGAGGGGAAATGAGAGACAGGTCAGAGAGAGCAGTTTATGGATGGGGCGGGGATCGAGTAGAGGTTGGTATGTAAGATGGTTGTTCCTGTGTGTTCCTGGTGCTGTGTCTTGTTGTCCCAGCATCTTTTTTTCTGACCTTTTCAATGCTAATATTTGTTTGTATATTTGCTTGAGGCCCCGATGTTGATTTTCCTTTTCTGAATTTGCTGTACCAAACCAGAGATACTTACTTCTGTCAGGGGGTGTCTATGGATTATTCCCCATTCACTACGTGACGAAACTCTGAAAATGGGCACACACAAATCAACGCTTCAAAAGATGCTTAGTTACTGCTTGCTGCGTATTAGAGTAGCTTGATCAAGAAAAATCGTATTTATAAGAACATCCCATGATTTACAAAAAAATTTAAGACTCACCAGACAAGAAAATGTTTTATAGGATTCCTATAGGATCCTATATGCCCCATAGAGTTCAGTTTGGGACCTATAGATCCCCCTATAGGACCCATAGGATTCTCTATAGGACCTATAGGATTCTCTATAGGACCTATAGGATTCTNGGGACTCAATGATTCTATCTGGAAGATGGGGATGACAAAGAAGGAACTGTTGAAGTTTATTGATTGCTACAATGAGGCAAGGCGAGACATTTGGGGACGTACAAAACTCTCTTGTGAGAGATGATTCCTTGGGTAAGGGGAGGGCACTTTTGTGCCCTTTGAGAAATGTGAGAACCCAATACTTCCATCTAGTGGCCTAGAGGAGAACTTCAAACGGAACCCTATAGGCCTATAGGGTTCCGTATAAGTCCTATAGGGATCCCTAAAGGTCCTATAGGTCCTATAGCGAACCCTATAGGTCCTATAGGGAACCCTACGGGTCCTTTACAGAGCCCTTTGGGTCCTATAGGGAACCTATAGGCCTTATGAGGAACCCTATTGGTTCTATAGGGGGCTCTATAGGTTCTATAGGGAAGTCTATAGGTTCTATAGGGGACTCTATAGGTCCCGAACTGAACTCTATGGGGCATATAGGAACCTATAGGATTCCTTTAAGTTCCTATAGGATTCCTTTAGGTTCCTGTAGGATTCTTATAGGAATATATAGGAATCCTATAAGACATTTTCGTAAGGGTAGGCAGTTCCACGATTCTTTTTTTCTCCCCCTACATTTCTTAGGCTTCTTTGGAAGCAAAACAACAAACAAAAAACATGTAATTACCCTGCTGGAAATGCTTCTACTTATCTTAACTGTATCAGTTATGATGACCCTTGTTCCCTTTGACCTTTGACCTTTATTTTCATTGAATGTCCTAGAGTTACACATTTGAAATGGCATGAAGAGACCTTAAGGATGACTCAATGTCAACTTCCTGCGTTGATTGTAACAAAACATATTTATGAGCACTCAAGTCATGACAACTTGGCCAAAAATTGTTCAATTTTTGCTACTTTCAAATTGCTACATTTCTGTAAGTACTTGCGGTAGAGAGCTGCAATTTGGCATGAGATGGTTTATCAATACCCCCTACAAACTTAGAAAAGTTCATGGAAATCGAAGGGGGTGAGGTAAATGACTATCTGTATTTGACATGACAGTGTGAAAACAGGCTCTGGGAGTAATAGCCCGATTCGGTCAAAGGTCCATCCCTGTGATTTACTTATAGACATTCTGTATGCTCGCTTGATAGGGAATTGACGACGATAACGATTGAACGGTGTGCTGACGTCCGATGACGTGTCTAATGAAACTCTGGGCATCAAATGAACGCTGTCGCGCGGCGCACCCGTGATCACCTCAACTTTCTAAATATTTGCGTTCATATCTCTCACGATCATTAGCGTGCTGTTGCAAAAACCGTTTTTAATCGAGAGATTCCGCAAAGGCATTGCCATAGCTCCAATTTTAAGTGTTACGGCGTTAATAGGGTGACCCGGAGGATTGAGTATGTTCAGGGATTCGACCTGAAAGTTGACCTGCAGGTCAGCATCATCACCCTGATCGTTCTTTACAGTGTTGATACTGTTTTAAGTCCACATTTCACTTTCCAATCGAGACAACACCTCCTTATTGACCGAGCAGTAGTGCTCATTCTTGGGACACAGAATGGCGCCTTTACTGCTCGCTTCGGCATCGCAGACCTGTACTCGAGCCCTATATTCCAGGAAGTGTTCCAATGCCCACATCAAGCAAACATCGATGAAATTGAATTCCGTTTGCTGATGTTAACAAACGAAAAAAATTTTTCCCGAATTCCCTTGAGCAACATCAGCAACCTAATATATTGAATACTTTCCCATTATTGTTCTCTCAGAACGGGAATAATGCAAGGAAATAACGAGATGGAATTCCTTATCCGATCCACGTTTGAGGTTATCGCTGCCCAGAATCAAAAAGTGAATATAATGAGTTCGACGACTACAGAAGCCATCTCTTATTGCTTCTGTCTCGCTGTCTCATGGTCTTTAGACTGGCTGGAATACTTTACTCGCTTGTCGTGTATTTTACTGGCATTTTTGGCATAGTAAAATGCTATGA